GGAATTTGTTGCTCATGCTGTAAAGAGACTTACGATATCACCTATTGTTGCAATAAAAGAAAGGCTGAGAGAGTTGAGGCCATTCAGCCTGGAGAAGAGAAGGCTCCAGGGACACCTTTTTGCAGTCTTGCAATATGTAAAGGAGGCTTATAAGAAAGATGGAGAGACACTTGTCACCAAGGCCTGTAGTGACAGGACAGGGGCAATAGTTCTAAAATGAAAAAGGGTAGATTTAGATTGGCTATAAGGAAGAAATTTTTCACTGTGAGGGTGGTGAGACACTGGAACAGGTTGCTCAGAAAGGTTGTGAATGCCCCATCCCTGGCAGTGTTCAAGGCCAGGTTGGATGGGGCTCTGAGCAACCTGGTCTAGTGGAAGGTGTCCCTGCCCATGGCAGGGGGGTTGGAACCAGATGAGCTTTAAAGGTTCCTTGCAACCCAAAACATTCTATGATTCTGTGACATCATGTTCAGCAGTAGAAGCTTGGGGAAAGGATGAGGAAGGAGGGGATGTTTGTGGTTATGGTGTTTATCTTTCCAAGTAACCGTTACGCTAAACAGGAAGCAGCTAAACATCTGCCTGCCAATGAGAAGTAATGAACAAATTCCATATCCTGCTTTACTTGCATGCACAGCTTTGCTTCAGTCTTTAAAGTGTCCTAACTTCAACGCATGAGTTTTCTTGCTCTTGCTCTTTTGATTCTCTCTCCTGTCCCACTATAGGGGCAGTTAGTGAGTCACTGGGTGGGTGCTTAATTGCTGGCCAGGGACAACCCACCACAAGTAGCGAAGTAAGTTGTTAAGTAATTGGATTACAAAATTGGTAACAGAGTTATAGATAGGAAAAACAAACCAAAACTCATTATTAATATTACCCAAAAGATACATCTATCTTTAGGTGTTAACTCAGGATACTCTACAAAATGTTTTCAACCATACATGTTTTCTTGCAAAGCATCACCCCACTTAAGCAGAACCTGGGACACATACAGCCTTAATTGTGTATTGGTTCTCTGTGTAATGAATCATGAAACAGGTACTGCCTTGAAAAAGAACTTGTGTTAGGGTATAGCTTCTCAATATAGAAATCATTCAATTTGACCCTTGTCCCCCTGAACCCCTTAGTACCTTTTTAGAGTAATTATGAGGATGTCCTTTTTTTTTTTTTCCCAGTTTCTCTGATTTCTTATCTCACAAGGGTGAAACAGAGTGGGTATTTCTTGTGGTTTAACCCCAGCCAGCAACTAAGCACCACGCAGCTGCTTGCTCACTCCCCCCACCCAGTGGGATGGGGGAGAGAATCAGAAAAAAATAAAACTCATGGGCTGAGATAAAGACAGTTTAATAGGAGAGAAAGGAAGAAAGTAATAATAATAATTAATAATAATAATAACAACAACATTATGACAATAATAATAATAATAAAAGAAATGGAATATACAGAACAAGTGATGCACAATGCAATTGCTCACCATTTGCCACCCGATGTCCAGTCAGTCCCCAAGCAGCAATCCGCCCCCCGCTCCGGCCAACTCCCCACAGTTTGTATACTGGGCATGACATCATATGGTATGGAATACCCCTTTGCCCAGTTTGGGTCACCTGTCCCAGATACGTCCCCTCCCAACTTCTTGTGCCCCTCCAGCCTTCTTGCTAGCTGGGCATGAGAAGCTGAAAAATCCTTGACTTGCTATAAACACTACTTAGCAACAACTAAAAACTTCAGTGTGTTATCAATGTTATTCTCAAGCCAAATCCAAAACATAGCACTATACCAACTACTAGAAAGAAAATTAACTCTATCCCAGCCGAAATCAGGACAGTATGTACCTCTTATTCTGTACCATTTATGTCATGCTCAGATCCCACACTTGCCAACACATACCCATTAACCACAATCACCTTCCCTGTCCTTTGATATATATAGATAGATATAAATGTATATATACACACACAGAGGTATCATTCCCTTAGTCTATGGGCCATCCCTATAAAATGTCTTTTGAGTTCATTTAGCCCATGACTTTGGGCTCCATCTGGCATAACAGTCTTTCTGGGCAGGAAGGATGCTGTGAAGTCCGCTCAGTCAGCAGAGCGGGATCGGGCTTCAGTGCGGTTCAGTGAGCAGGTGACATTGGGCGCAGCAGGAGGATGGTGCATAGTGTTGGATTGTTGCATGCTGAAGTCAGTTGTGGTTCCACCACTACTGCACTTTGCTCAGTTTTATTGAAGTTCCTTCTTCATTAATCTAAGTGATTCTTACTGTAATACCATTGATATAGCACATAACAATTCTAGTAATGAGGACATACAGTAGCAGGGTTATATAGCAATTAACATCATACAATTCAATTCATTGGCTATTCTCTCCTAAAATCAAATCCCCTTTAGATGCATATCAGAATTCCCCATCCTTCCGCATCACCCACCAAGTGCACCCAGGTCCTTGAGTAAAAGCAATCCCTTGGATGTGTTTGCCTTTGCCTGAGACAGAAGTAACCCAGGCTGTCTTCCCTGGCATATTTTTAATGTGCACTACAGGGACTTCATCCCCTTCTACAGCACGTAAAAGTTCTGATTGGCAGGGCCAGTCAGATTGGTAGATCCTCTGGTGTTGACTAACCAGGGGGCTTTTGTTAAATGCGTATCCCGAAGTTTGAAGGTTCCACCCCTCATTGCTCTCAATGTCGTCTTTAACAGTCCATCGTATCGTTTGATTTTCCTGGAGGCTGGTGCACGATAGGGGATATGATATACCCACTCAATGCCATGCTCTTTGGCCCAGGTTGTTTCAGAAATGAGTCCCGTTGTCTGACTCAGTTCTTTCTGGGGTGCCATGTCACCATAAGACTTGCTTTTCAAGGCCCGGGATAGTGTTCCGGGCAGTGGCATGGGGCACGGGATATGTTTCCAGCCATCCGGTGGTTGCTTCCACCATTGTAAGCGCATGGACTTGCCTTGGCAGGTTTGTGGGAGTGTGATATAGTCAATCTGCCAGGCCTCCCCATATTTATATTTCAGCCATCGTCCTCCATACCACAGAGACTTTAACTGTTTGGCTTGCATGACTGCAGCACATTTCACATTCATGGATAACCTGTGTGATAGTATCTGTGGTCAAGTCCACCCCTTGGTCATGAGCCCATCTATATGTTGCATCTCTTGCCTGATGGCCTGAGGCGTCATGGGCCCACAGAGCTATAAATAATTGACCCTTATGTTGCCAGTCCAGATCCACCTGAGCCATTTCAATCTTAGCAGCCTTATCCATGTGCTGGTTGTTTTGATGTCCTTCAGTGGCCCAACTCTTGGGTACATGAGCATCTATGGGATGTACTTTTACAACCATATTCTCTAGCCAGGATGCAATATCTTGCCACAGTGCAGCAGCCCAGATGGGTTTACCTCTGTGCTGCCAGTTGCTCTGCTTCTATTGCTGTAACCACCCCCATAGGGCATTTGCCACCACCCCTGAGTCAGTATAGAGATAGAGCAGTGGCCACTTTTCTCATTCAGCAATATCTAAAGCTAGCTGGATGGCTTTCACCTCTGCAAACTGACTCGATTCACCTTCTCCTTCAGCAGTTTCTGCAGC